CCGTCGCAGACCTTTTTGACGTAGGTGACGTCGGGGTGGTGCTTGGGGGGCATGAGCAGCAGGTGAAGGCGCTCGTAGAACTGGATCCCGTTCAGCGAGGTGACGCCCATGTAGAGGAAGATCCCGAAGAGCACGGCCAGGGGGATGTGCCGCAGCAGGTCCCCGATGACGATGGACAGGCCTGGGGGCGGGGGGGGCAGTCACTGAGCCCATGTGAGCCCTCCGCCCCCCCCACTGATCTCTGCAAACACACACACACCCCCACTGCCCTGTCCCCTCCCACCACTACTCACCCCGTAACAATGTGGGAGTAATTGTGTAATGTTTGTATGAGTCTTGTTTGTGCCTCAGTTTCCCCATACGCGGCCTTGTTGCCCTTGGGGGAGGGGTAGGGAAGGGGCCTGTCTGCTCCCAGGGCCGGCTGAGATACAGGCGCGGGTTCCCCTGGCCATCAGCAAATCCAATCGCCCGGACATGGACACCCGGCAACCCCCGCCCCCAAGGGGGATGGACACCTCCCCACCCCACACACACACACACACACAGAGGATTCCCGGCGGGCGGAGAACCCAGGGCTGGGAGGGGAGAGGGGGGTTACATGGGGCTGCGGGAAACACTCAGGCTCTCACCTGGAGTCTGACCAAGGAGGCCACACAGCCAGACGGCGCCGGACCCCGGGGTTCCCCACAGCCGGGCTGGGCTCGGGGCTGGCCAGGACGGACCCTGCTTCGCCCTTCATTGCCCCGGGCTGCCCTAAGGCCCCTAGGCCGGGCGCCCGCTAACGACTGACCCCGGCTGTGCCCGCGCTGGCAGTGTCCCTGCCGGGGCTGGGCAAGGGGCCCTGATCCCTGCGAGCGGCCAAGTCTCCCTGTCTCCCTCAGGGTGTGTCCGGGGGACTCGCTGCCCGGAGCTCACGGGGGAGGGGGGGCTGCAGGCCCAGAGGGCCAGTCTAGGGGGCGGTGGGGCCGTGTGGCTCACCCTGGAGGCAGAGCAGGACCCCCAGGGGGGCTGGCCCAGTGAAGGGGCCTCCCAGAGACCGTCCCAAAGCTGGGGGCGCAGCCCTGACCCTGTGGTTCTGACACTCCCTCCCCCCCCCCCAAGCCCCCAGGGCTTCCCGAGATTGCCCCCCCATGCCCCAAAGCCTCCCCGGCCCCACAGCTGGGCCTGAGCGCCGCCCGCCCCGTGAGCCTCTCCCCCGCTCGCCGTGGGCTGGGGGGCCGGTGCGGCCGGCGGGACTCACCCACGAGCAGGGCCACCAGCAGCCCCGTGACGCGCTGCTCCTTCACCTCCTGGATCTTGGGCTTGTCGCCGGGGGCCACGGCCTTGCTCATGACGGTCAGGGCGTTGGCGTGGGTCACCGAGCGCACCGTGGCGGCCGCCAGCCAGGGCAGCCCGAAGAGGGCGCAGAAGCCGCCCATGGCCACAATGAGCAGCAGATCGAGGTGGAAGCCGGAGCCCTTCTGCAGCCTGCGCTCCTTCTTACTGATGATCAGCCTGGGGGCACCGGAGCCTCAGGGCCTGCCCCACGGCCCCCCCCGCCCCACGGCCTCCCCACCTGCCCCCACAGCCCCCCCACCTGCCCCACGGCCCCACCTGCCCCCACAGCCTCCCCCCCTGCCCCCCACAGCCACCAGCAGCCAGCACTCCTTCTTACTGATCAGCCTGGGGGCACCGGAGCCTCAGGGCCTGCCCCACGGCCCCACGGCCTCCCCACCTGCCCCCACAGCCTCCCCCC